CCCCGCTACCGGCATGTTTACCCCCCTGCAACCCTTCAAAGTCACGGCCACAGGTAAGTACCGGCCTGGTGGGCCTTGCAACCAACAAGTACCCTGGCGGGTCACACACATACCCTACCAGCAAGCATTCAGACAGGCATGCAACCCAGCAGGCACGCACACACACACAATCGGCAAGCACTCAGACAGGTATGCAAACCAGCAGGCACGCACACACACAGACTTGGGACCACAGCAGAATGTGGGAATCACAACAAGGCATTCATTCCATTGACAAATCCCAGAAATCAGCAGTGTTCTCAGTCTGTGTTTTGGGCGGGTCATTACAGGGACAAACAAAACCGGTGCACCGAACTCCGATTCGCTTGGCTTGATCCATCCCTTCCCAAACATGTCATCAATTTGCCTCCGCAACTCCTCCAATTCGCTTGAGCCCATTTGATAGACACAACCTTTTGGAGGAGTGCTACCTTCAATCAACTCGATCTTATGTTGGACCGGACGSACAGGAACTCCATGYGATTCGGCCAAGACTTCAGGAAATCGGTTGAGAAGGTTGCGAATTTYTGATGGGACTTCCGGAGGTGGATCATCACTCTCAGGTACAAGCATATCGGGTGGCATAGGTGCAACCAAAACAACAGGATTAGAAGCAGAGTCATTTGSACTAGGAGTARATGTAGTTGCATTAGAAGTAGAAACTGCATGCAAAGTGAAATCATTATGTATAGCAAGAACAGAAGGCACATGAGCARGCCTAACAAAGGCTAWATAYATTTGCTCATCAGCTTTGCGYCTGCGCCACTTTTTACAGAATTGCATTGCATTGAGAAAAGTTACTTGGGACTCGCGCGGCTCATCCAAGAGGACTGGACGCTCGATTCCCATGGCATCTTTGACCATGAACTATGAGTCCTTCCACATGGTTCTTTCACATTGGGCCTGCAACCAGCCCAAGCCAATAACCGCGTCGAAGGGGCACTGATCAAGGACATAGAAGTTCAGTTCATGTGTGATTGTGCGGTCTGCGTCAAAGGTAGTGCGCACACCTTTGACTGCATGCATAGAGGTGACAACCTCTTGGTTGCCTACTTGGGTCCGGCAAGGATTCTGCAAAGTCACTTGCTTCATCCCCAAGTGTGCCTTACGAATGTCGTGCGGTGAGAAGTAGTTGGCGGTTTCGCCGCAATCAGCCAACGCACGGATGTAACGACCGTTAATGTGGAGTTTGAAAAAGATTAACCTCGTTATGCGTTCTTGCTTCATGTGAGCCCAGCGTGTCAAGAGGGCATGAAAGTTGATTTCTTCCGACTCCACCCAAGGCTCCTTGTATAGGATGTGTACTTGTTCAGCCTTGGAATCAATATCAGATGGGGTTTCAGGAGAGGTTTGTTGATTAGGATCAGAATCTAGAGAAGGATCTGCACTTACCTGTCCAGCCTCTCCATCTGTAGAGTGTGTTGATCATGGCTCTACCCCCGTTGCTGGTTTCCCTGCTGCAATTTAAAACAATGTTGGACTGAGTGTCCCGGTTTGGTGCAATGCAGGCAAACCCCTTTTTTCACCCTGTTCTCTCACTTTCACTAATCCGGAGATCTACCCATGGTTTGGTGGCAGGATCTTCCGGTTTGGGTGGAATTTTCGCTCCCTTGGGAAGAAGAATAGTGTTAGTATTGTTCTTCATCGTAGTCCTCGGTCCCTTGCTTTTGAAGGCAGTCTTTTTGAAGGCATTCATAGATTCTTTGTCATTCACACACTCAGACTCATGGGCTGACGAAGAGCAAGATGCCTCGCAGCCTTGCTCTTGATCGTCATCAAGAGAAGGATCCTCTGCGAAGGTCTCCTCGTCATCCTCAAGTA